TGTAGTGACTAAAGGGACTTGTTGGACCTAGACATGATCTGAACTGGCATGCAATGGGATAAAGAAAGGCCTTTCTGGGTCACAATGAAATTGGGACTTTGCTGGGATTTTGGTGAGGTTTAGTCTCACCAACGAGAGAGATGTGCATTAGAGATATCAGTGCCGACATCTGAAAAAAGCTGGTTAAGTCAGGGTCTGACTACAAACCTAAGCAGGGAAATTAATCCTTAGGTGTATTAGGTGATATAAAAGGCCTTTGATTTTTGTTAGATAATTTCTTTTCATCGGATAGTATTTTCACCATAAACTTGAAAAGAACCTTATCGTAAATAAATATTATTTGCCATCCTTTTCTAGGAAAAAATACTGAATATTCTCACTCCTGTGACTAATGTCCTAACCTGGTGGTAGAATATATGGAAACATTGGCTCATTATGAAAACTTGATGACCAGGATTCTGATGGATGCTTTACTTGTTATTTTATGTAATAAAAGATGGGTTTTTTAAAGGAATACAAGGATTTATGCATCCTGAGAAATGTGATTAATTTATAAGTTACAGTGACATTTTATTTATGTCATTATATGGTACACTCATATTTAAACAGCCTCAGAGAGAATTCACTGGTATTCTCAATAATGGGTATGCAGATATTAGAATCATCTGCACAAAATGAAGGGAGGGTTTTCAAACTCCACGTCTCCTCTGAAGGACCCTGTAGGGTCATATTACCTGGACTGAGAATCAATGCCTTGGTAAGTAAGGGAGCCTGGTCTTGAAACCAAGCCTTATATTCTGTGTTACCTTATTGCCTCTATTGGCTTTTAGAAGTTGTAGTGACCTTTTCTAGGTTAATGTGAGTGTCTTCATTGAAAGAAAAGTGCGTAATAATTGAATGCTTACTATGTAGTCTCTACCAGGCAAAATGTTCAAATCCACAGCAAGCATTGCAAATGCTACGTAAGTGAAAAGTCAGTTCAGAAGAGAGAAAGAGGAAAACAAGATCACAGGATGCTTCACTATAGAAGTACAACTTGAACCAAGTCTTAGAAAATGGGTAAGATCTGATCTGATAAAAGCCCATGCATGGCAACAGCTTGAGGTAAAGGATGAGAATAGAACCAAATGTGGACACCCAGAGGGAAGATTGAGTTGTATATGTTTTGGGGAGCAGAGCAGTGGAAAATAGACTGGATATGATCAGATGGGGCCAGATCACAGGGGGTCTCGGGAAGTTAGACAAGGAAGTTTAAATCTTTCATGATATTTGATAGGGGATAATTGGAAATATTTGAACAAGGTGAGTGGCCTAAAAGTAATCTAGAAAATTCAATCTGGCATTCTGTCCAAGTTAGATTTGAGCAGAGAGACTATGGAGACCTGCAATGAGGTTTCTGAGATGTAAATTGAGGTGAATATAGTAGCCTTCGCCAATGAAAAAAGAAAATTGTCAACAGAACTAACTTTATAGAGAGAGGAAAAGAAAGCTCTGAACTGAAGATTTGCACCCTAAGCCTCTAGGACAATGGAGGTGATATTCTTTCTATAAATAAGAAAATTGGAAGGAGGATCCAAGATTCGGAGAAGAAGCTGTAACTTGGTTTTGACTGTGAGGCAATGCAGGCAGTCTAGTGTCCCGGGAGCACCAGGGCTCAATCAAACAAGAGCACAGGGAGAAGAACAGGCTGTAGGAACCTGCATGTGACTCCAAGGGAAAAGGCTGTGTCTGAAGCCGCGAGAATGCCCATGTTCTAAGGGAGAAAGTACAGAGGGAAGAGACAAAGTGATAAAGCAAAAAGGACAGAAGGAGAAGAGAGGTGAAGCCCTGCCTGTCATAGACGGTTTCCAGACAGAGAATATAGTCAATTCCATTAAATGTAGAAGGGGGAATAGAGGTAAGGGTCACCGTGCACATACGTGTGCAAGTGCACGTGTGTGTGTGTGTGTGTGTGTGTGTGTATGTGTAGGGGCGTGAGAGCCAACATTCATTAAAGCCCTTGTTATATGCCAGGTATTTTTCTCTGAATTTTGCATGTGATTTTATTCTACCCTTTTAACCTGTCATTAGCTCAACTCTTCCTCACTATCCTGGATGCTAGGATATTTCACTTATTACTGTTTCCTTATAATATACAAGCATAAAGTGAATGAAAGAAATACCTTCTGGAATACTTTTGACTTCGGGATAGGCAGGAAAATAAACCTGTGTACCCAGGATCCTCTCAATTCGGATTTGGCCTCCCACACAACAGTGTTGGCAGGTGCATGTTATTGCAGCTTCTTCAGGGACAAGCCTTTTCTGGCTCCCCAGACCACAGCGGATACTCTTGATAGATGATACCACGGCACCCTGTTCTTCCTCTTTCTAACATATTTCCCAATTTTCAGCAAATGGTTTTAGATTTAATATCTGTTGCTCCTGAGAAAACATAAGTATGAATAACTGGTGTCTTCCTCACCCCCGTATCCTTGGCAGCTAGGGCAGTGCTTTGCATGCAATAGGCCCTTGATAAGTGTTTGTTGAAGGAATAAATGAGCTCCTCACACCATCCACAAACTACATAGCTATATCCTTCTAAGGCCTGTTCGTTCCTCCAATAAATGCTCTTTTTCCACCCTATAATTCCACCAGGAGAGTTCATCACACCTGCAATTACATAGTCAAATGCATCATTTGTTGTTCAGTGTCTGTTGCTGGATAGACTGTGAGTTCCCTTAGGGCAAGAGTGGGATTTTGGTCACCACTGTCTGGCAAGTCCCTGGCACACAGTAGACCTAAAATGCATAGATGCTGAATGTGGAAGATGATTACATTCATTATAGTTGAAAAGATCTAAAACTTAGAGAAACAAAAACAAATGTCTAAGGTTATACAGCTAGCGGAGTCATATTCAAAATCAGCTCTAAGTCTAAAGCTTGTTATCATCTTTCATTTTTCCCCCACTAAATCAGAAGCACAGAGCAGACTATTTGATTTGCCAAGAAAGAGGTTATTAGTTCCCTTGAAGATAGTAATTTTAATATAGAGGTGAGGCATTTTTTCATAGGTGGAAGCAGGGGTGAGAGAGGAAAGGCATTTATGAGTGAGTGTTTGAGTATGGATTTGTGTTGAATGGGCATGAGCTTATCTCATTCTGTGTTGTGTCTATATCTTGTGTCTGACAAGGGTGGGGAGAAGATGAGTGGAAGGTGATTGATAGAAGCTCAAGTTGGCGTGGAAAATTCATGCAATGCAGACACCGTCAGTGTTTTTCTCTGAAGTGCAATTCACATAGAAATGGTGTGAGGATAGCGCACCTCCCCAAACATGAGCAACACATTTTCTTTTCTTCCAACAGAATTGGGCACACTCTGGTTCTCTGGAGCTGGTGTGTTAGGTCTCAGTGCCTTACTCATGTTAATATTTGAAGCTAGTTGTTTGGTGAGTTTAACTTTTAAGTCAGGTTTATAAAGAAAGGCTTTTTGAAAAATATTTGTTTATTTGCTATGTAAATATTTAATATTAACGTTGCGAAGCCTCAGGTTTCTAATTTGTAAATCGGGGACATTGATAGCTAATTCTACAGCCCTAGCGAGAGTCATTAGGGTTAGAGATCATTTAAGTGTAGCCCCTAACAGAAGCTGTAATGTACCAGACACTCAAAAACTAACAGCTAACATAAAAGTTTGAGATAAAAGTACAGATGTCAATTTTTCTTTTTGTGACTTTTTTCTTTTATCAAATATCTTCAAATATATATTAAAAATCCATGTTCTTTACATTCCATAAATTCTATGCTTGTTGGATGAAAGGAACTCTTTTAATCCCCAAAGAGATTATAATCTCTAAAACATCTTGTCAGTGGCCTAGGCAGCTAATTTGGGCTTATCATATAGGAGAGGTAGGAGAATGCTTTTAAAGTTTGAAAAATAATATTATGAAAGATTGCAAAGGTCTTAGAAGATAGTTATAAAATTTAAAGCAAATCAAGGTAAGTTGAAGAAATGTACATTGAAAACATGATGATAATATTCACAGAAGGGAGGAAGGCAGAAAATTTGGAGAGGGTGGATAAGACAGTTTAGGACACAGAAGTCCTATGGACCAAAGTTGAAAAGGAAGCACCCAAAATAGTAACATTACTTGGTTTTCCCCCTAATGAGGTGTTGTTGCTCCAGTAATCACTCCGTAGAAACTAACCCTAAGGTGGGTAAAATGTGCCAGAGAACAAGGCCTGTGCATCCATGATTTGTTCCTTACTCCCCAGGAGCTGACCTTGGATATATCTCCTTTTAGAGTCAATTGTTACTAAAGTGTTTTATCGCCTCCCAGTTATTAGCAAACATGACTCGCATTTTGTGTATTTCAAGAACATTTTACAAAACAAGTGGGGAGACTGAAAGCGGTCTCATCATTGCAGATGTCGCTCAGCTAATATTTTCTTCCCCCCCTTGTCTCCAGAGCCTAAAGTAAGCTGCAAATTAGGCCGGTCTGCCTCGACATCAGGTGTGCCTCCTCCGTCAGCCGCTCCTCTCAGGCAAGCCAGCGACCTGCAACAGAGCCAGGTACCATCATCGTTAGCCAATCGTGATTGACTTCCTGTGATGCAACATGCCAAATGCTTCCCACCTCTGTCTGTCCTGTTGCTGTAGACAACTCTCGCATTTGCTTTTATTTTTCTATGTGTGTATAAGGGGGGGTGGGGGCCGGGCTGAGTTCTGGCAGTCTGTGTTTTCATCCGAAAAAGAATGTCTTTCTTCCTCGTGACTGGTGGTGAAACTTTCTTTACTGTTTGTTACCAAATCGTTTTTGTTTCTGGTTTCCATCATTCTGTAATATAAATGTAGTAAACTTGTACTCTATGTATTGGCTTAGTGATTATTTTTTAAAATTCTTTCTCTCTTCCATGTTTTGTGTACTTTTATACTGTCTCTGAAAATTTATCAGCACTTGATAAATTTATCTACTTTGTTTTATGTAGATTTCTTTTTAAATGTTTTGTCCACAACACTTGCACAGATGTTATCAATGAATTTGTACATATCTTTTAGCTCTTATTCTATTATACTGTAATATTTGTGGCAATTTTACTTTTATTTTTATTTAGCTTGGAGCATGATTGTAAGACACTGAATGTTGATGTCCTTATAAAGATTCATATACCAACTCATTTGGATTGGATATGGCAGCTAGTCTTTATTCTTTCTTAGGCCATAGAGATAAACTAACTGACCAGATAATCCAGATATTTATCAAAAACTGTAGATTACTAAGGCAGCCTTTAAATAAATGACTTTTCTCTCTTATACCAACCATATCAGAAATGTTCTCAGAAAGGGAATGTAAGTGTTCATGCATGGTAAATGAGATCTCTATTATCACTTGGAGAAAAGAGACAAGAAATAAAGGCATAAGCTGAAATATCATTTAATCCTTCACAGTATAATATGTTGCTCTGATGTTCATTTGGGTGCATGGTTGTGGATGGAGAATCTAGTATGGGGAAAGAAAAATCACTACACATAAATGTCCTGTCTATAGCTTACCCAATAGGAATTCAATACATTGACTTAATTTGTGAGGCTTAATTGTTGTTACTGTTAAGTATTATGGGTGTTAAATGGGATGATGTCATCCTGGAGTGTTTTTTCTCTGCTTTTCAGCTTTAACCTTTGCATTCATGAAATTCTTCTGAAATAGTAAATTATAAAACTAGTGATGACACCTCCAAGGGAACTGCCCATTACTGATTAGCAAATTACATATTCATCAATTATTTTAAATGCCAGGCTATTTTAAAAACATAATTAAGCAGAATAATTGCATTTTTTTCCTAATGACAGACATTGTGCGTCTTAGTAATTTTGTCTGGCTTAAGGAGGCAAAGGATTTGATTTATGAATATATGAGATATCTACAAACACAAAAGGCGAGGGGCTTCTCTCAAGGGCATCTCAAGTGCCATTTGGAATTTCTTGTGTCTTAATTTAAAATCTTAAATGCCTTTATAACCAAATGTAGCCAGCTCAAACACTTTTTGGATTTAAAAGAAGTAGAAACCATAGGACACTGAATAAATAAATGAATAATAACACAACCTCACTATGATAAACTGCCACCTTAGCTGAGTAAAGCTATTCCAGAAAAATTGTATTTACCAATAGCTAAAATTTAAAAACACTGGATGGAGAAAGAAGAGAAGTTTAGCTGATTGGCAGGGGATTGCATTAATACTATCATTTTTTCAAGTGTATGTTCCTCGCTATTACATCACCTTCAGTATCTCAGAGACGTTTTGTGTTCTTTGTTTTGCTTTTTTCATAGTTATCTTTATAGCTGTTTCATCCTAAGCCCCTTTAACTCTCAATGAAAGCAGGTCCCTGGGTATGAATTTCCAGAATAGAGACAGGGGTTTGTGCCTTTGCATTATCAACTCTTTGCTTACCTGATGGGATGTTCTTCGTTCTTCAAAATACAGCAACATGAGAAAGCCCCTGACGCCACTTATACGCTATTAGTTTCGTTACCTACTGACAAATTCTGACACACAGCCAAATTGTAGATGGCTGTCAGGCTATAAATTATTAACAAACGAGTGACCTCTGAGCTTCTCTTCTGTGGCTTATGACCAGGTGTATCATACATTTATTCCTGCATTCCGGAGATAAAGGGTAAGCATAGCTCAGGTGAACCTTGTTCTGCATTCCTGTGACTTAGCATTCAACTAAAGTTAACAAATACTTATTGAAGGTCTTTTTAAAATCCAGTTTCCACCCCCTCAACCATAGTCTTGACTGAGACATCTCTTTAAGTTACAACCAGGGTGACACTGCCCCGTGCTGAGAAATGCAAGTGGAAATGCAGTGGAGAAAGACACTTAAACCTGTTTAATCTAAGAATGAATATTCACATACCAGCTAGGATACGGAGCACCTAGCATGATTAAACAATCACCCTGGTCATTTTTTAAGCAGTTTTTCCAACTCTAACATTCCTGGTAGTTTTTAAAACCCAGAATTCTTAATAGGAGATTAGTAGACTTTTTGCTAGGAAATTATTGGAAAACTGTGTGATCTATTTTAAAGAAACAAAAGCACTCACTACCCCCTAAAACAACTCCAGGAATGCTTATCTATGGAGGAATCTGGCCTAAGGAAGGCTGTGCCATGTCAGCCACAGTGTGGGGTATTACCTCTCATACAGAGGGAACCGTGTTTCTTTTCAGATTGTTGTTCACATCCTATCTCTATTCAGTTTTCTGGGACTTCCTTTGTGACTTACCACTTCAGGTCATGGTTGGAGCTTTCTAAGAAGTGTTGCAGATGGAGTTAGGTGGAAGTGCTTGACATTATTCCAGCAGAGATGCACAGAGGTGGTCGACAGTGACCACCCACCACCAGAATTTGTGTATGCACTGTGGAAGAAGATGTCAGGGTGTCCATAGCTTGATGCAGGTCCAGAGTGTACTTCTGGACATGCTCAGATGTCAAAATTGTTTTCTAGATACTTAAAAAAAAAAAAAGGTAAATGATCCAAAGATAAGGATGGGGGATCAGTATGTGTGAAGACTTGAGTGAAGGACTTAGGTGGATTTCTTGACAAGGACTGTGCCTGTTCAGAGGTGATGCTCCCATGCCTAGCACAGTGTGGAACACTCAGTCATCTTTTGTTTACTTACTCGACATCTCTGTCTATAAATGTTTTTCTTTCTGTTCCCTTGACAAATGTTGTTCTCACATGATCTGCTTTTGTCCCTGTTCTTCAGTCCTTAATATCCCCAGAGCAGTGGGATGTTTTGACTTGTCCCACAGCCCCAGTAATGCTTTGCCTTACAGCTTTGAGAAGACCACATGCTCCCTTAGGGTTTGTGAGTTCTGAGCTTTCATTGAACTTTCCACATGGCTAGGACATTTGCACATAAAACATGCGTAGGAGCCTGGAGAGTGCGAGGAAAGGTAACAACAAGGGGAGGCTGCGTGGAGCAACATTCTAGGGTATGAAATGAGGACATGGGAGGAAATGTAATTTCATCCAGCCCTACTCTGACTAATGTAATCTAACAGGCTGGGTCCTCATTTAATTTTGACTTCAATAGGATCAAGTAGAAAAACAAAACCTAAGGGCAGTACGTGAAATCTCTTCTTCTCAGTTTTGCTGTGAACCTAAAACTGCTCTAAAAATAAATAAAATAAAACAACAAAATAAAACACACCACAAAATCTAACGGTAGAGAAACTTCAGCAATACTTTCTCTTTAGAATCCTCAAGCTACCATTAACATGGATAGGTCTTGTTTTGCCAACGCTATCCCTGCTTTAATTCAGCCTCACGTCCCATAGACCTAGGACACGTGTATTGTGAGGATTTATGTGATCTGCTGGGTCCTTTTCCAAGTGCTTCCCATCTGGAGACTGTTTTGTGGTAGACAGGATAAAGTGGTGTTGGGAAGGGGAGAATCACAAAATATGTGTTTGGGGAACATGTGCCTTCTGACTCAGGTGACCAATGGGTCCCTTCTCTACTGTCCCTTGCTCAAGTGTTCAGCAAATGTGTACGTGTGTGTGTGTTTTGAAAGTGTGATGTACCAGGTCCTCCTGTCATACCTGAACTGAGAAAATGTTCCACATGCCATTTTTACACAGCTGATTTGACTATATGCTTACAGTTACGTCATATGATGGGAATGAAAGAAAAGCAGAAACAGAACACTCAGAACCAAACCAGCAAAAGCTGAGCTCACTTAATTAATACTCAGCCTCCTGCTACCAAAGAGCATCCTCCAGGCTGTGCGGTAGATCTTACAAATGGCTCTTATTATTTGCTTCCTCCTGCATAAAAGTCAACCTTACATATATTTCCAAATATGGAAAACCTAATAGGGGGACTTGGAAACCCCCCACCAAGTTCACAATGCAATGTCAGCATCACACTGGAGAAATGTTTACCTGTACTAACTTCAAATTGTAAAATAAAGTGTTATGTTAACAAAGATTATGTTACAAAGAAATTATTGTTATTTGTTATAAAAATATTTACCAAAGAGATTGGATCTAGCCCTGTGAAATGTGGAATAAATTCATATTACAAATAAGAATGCCAGTGGCTAAATTCATCTATGGCCATGCATTAGGACACAGCTGCATTAAAATAATGCAAGTGCAAAAAAAAAAAAAAAGCATTATCTTATTGTGCTCTCTATGTCTCTACAAACTTGTCTGATTGGTTTGTAAAAATTAGGCTTTAGTTCTTTGTGGAGTTCTCTGTGAGCTTTAATTTATGTCATATTTAATGAAGAAAATAAAATTTGTCATTACCTTTAAATATCCACTGAACCATTGTTATGCAAAATGAAATATTGGAATTTTTGGATTTCCACTTTCATACAAAGAATTCAGATGGCAACAACTCATTGCTTTCTACAACCAACTGCGGTGTAGGCTGAGTAATTTTGACATATTATTTAGCCACTGCATGCTTGTTGACTTTTGTGTACCTCAAGTGGCAGAATATGGGGGGGTTACCTTTTAAAATCCAGTAGTCTCATGACCAATCTCTCAGTAACTCCATTATTAAGCAGCATGAACAAACTCATTCC